AAATTTTAGAAGACATAGTTGAAAGATCTAAATAATTGAAATTATCTTGGTTCATAAGAAATGGATAAACAGTATCTCAAAAGTCATGTAGAGGAAACAAGATATTTATTTTTTAACCCATAGACAGAAACTATTAGTTGAGGTCACAATGAGTCAGAATTCTATTGGTATAATAAAGGGCTGTTCAAAAATTAGCCCTGCTTAACATCACAGGCTGTTTTGTGACATAGTGTCCTCATTAGGGAAGAATGAGGAATGCTTATCTGTGAGGTGCTGGAGTGAGCTTTGCTTCAGTGAACCCCAAAGACCCTCCTTAATCTCAGATTCTGACATCTTCTCCTATGGGTTATATTATGTTGTTTATACTGTTCTATTTTCCATTTTTTCCTGTGAATATTTTTTTAAAATATATTTAAACAGTAGCACTAACTTTTAAGATGTGGTATGACCAAATAATATTTTTAATCTGCCAGAAAACTTTGGAGATGCTCTCATTCAAAGACCGTATACTAGACTGATGACTTCTCAAATCTCCTTCCATTATTTATCAAGACAGCTTTTGAAATCATCTGGTGTGGTTGGTTAGACCATGATCATACCATGGCCTTGGCTGTCCTAGATTTGGTTCCCATGATAATTTATGTTGTCCAGTATAATATATCCTATTATTGTAAACTACAGAAGCATAAAAAGAAATTTGTCTTAGGTCCCCTCAAAAGTTGCTGAGGAAAAGTTCTTGGGTGTTGTATGTTTTCTGTATTGTGCAGCATGTAACCTCCCCAAACTCAGTGACTGAAAACAGCAACAGTTTATAGATTCTCATGATTCATTGGGCTAAATGGCCAGTTCTTTCGCTGGCCTCACCTGTCTTGCCCATGTGATACATTGAGGAGCTAAGTCTTCAGGCACTGGGCTCAACTGGGATGATGGCCAGCTGGACCGTGTCTGGGGATGTTGACTGAAACTGTTTTTTAAATTTGCACTCTTATTTTGTATATTAAGGAGGCCCAAACTTCACCTGCAGATAGACTACTTGTTATGTGCCTAATTCAGACTTTTTACCCTACATCTCAATAATAAAATAAAGAAAGTATTTAAAAATTTGAAATTAAGAAAAGAAGGCTTGGTAGCCTTTGGTGATTTCCAGGGAATTAGATAAAATAGTGATGCAGATTGCAGATTGGAGAAATTATTCAAAGAAGGTTAACAAACATGCCAGTATTTTGAAGAGTTGAATACAAATGTTGTTTCATCTGCTCCCTAGTCTGAGCTTCTCCCTCCCCTCTTGGGTCTGGGTTTGTCCTTCGGGATCCCTTGGGAATGACCTGTATGGTAACAGCAGTGGACCTGGAAGTGATTTTCTAAATCGATCATGGTCACTGCCTCTACTCTTCACTACTTTCAACAACCATGTGTTAATGTTAGCTGATATCTCTGTCCCAGAGTCCCTTAAACAAAGAAGCTCAGATAAGGCAGCTGCATTCTGTTTTTAATTTTTAGGTTTGTTTAAATTATAAGTAATATCTGCTTATTTAAACAATTAAAAAATACAGACACTTGGAAAGAGAAGTAGTGTCCTTTCCTTCTTACTTTTCAAATTCTATTCCTCTAGAAATAGTTTGTATCTTTGTACATCCTTTTCTATATACAAATTTGCAGATACAGTACATGTGGGTTGTTTTGCTGTATAAAAATGACCTTAAACTTTACATATTCTTAGGAAACTTGTTTTTATTATTTTAAAATGCGTTGTCTGGCTGTGATATTTTATTTTTTTAAGACAAAGTCTTTCTGTGTCACCTGGGCTAGACTGCAGTGGCACAGCCATGGATCACTGCAGCCTTGAACTTCTAGGCTCAAGCAATCCTTTTGCCCCAGCCTGCCAAGTAGTTGGGACTACAGGCATGCACCATCATGCTGGGCTAATGTTTTTAAATTTGCTTTTTAAAAAATTAGAGACAGGATCTTGCTGTGTTGCCAAGACTGGTCTTAAGCTCCTGGCCTCAAGCGATCATCCTACCTTAGCCTCTCTAAGTGCTGGGATTACGAATGTATGCCACTGGACCTGGAAAACTGTTATTAAAAGACAAAAGATCACGGATATTGGTGAGGATGTGGAGAAAAGGGAACTTTTACACACTGTTGGTGGGAATGTAAACGAATATAGCTACTATTATCGAAGACAGTATGGAGTTTAAAAAAAAAACACCTAAAAATAGAATTACCATTGTATCCAGTAATCCCACTATAGGGTATTTATCCAAAGGAAAATAAGTCAGTATATTAAAGGGATACCTGTACTCACATGTTTATTGCAGCACTATTCACAATAGCAAAGATATAGAATCAACCTAAATGTCCATCCACGGATGAATGGTTAAAGAAAATATGGCATATATACAAAGTGGAATATTATTCAGTCATAAAAGAATGAAATTATATCATTTGCAGTGACATGGATGAAAATGGTAGTTATTCTCTTAAGTGACATAGCCAGGCATTAAGAAAACAAAACAAAATAAATATCGCATGTTCTTACTTATATGTGGGAGCTAAAAAAGCTGATCACATGGGGGTAGAGGGTAGAAAGATAATGGAGACTGGAGAAGCTGGAGAGAGGGAGGAAGGAGGATGAAGAGAAATGGATTAAATGGAACACAAATGCAGTGAGATAAAAGGAATAAATTCAGTGTTTGGTGGCAGAACGAGGTGACTATGGTTAGCAAAATGTATTGTACTTGGGTGATGGACACCCTAAATAACCTGACTGAATAACTATATATTACATACTTGTAACAAAACTTATGTACCTTATACATTTGTACAAAAACAAAATAAAATGCATTATGGAAATATCCCCATAGTAATAAACTTAGATTTAACTTATGATTTTTTAATGACTACATATGGTAGTATAGTACAAATGTACCATAATTTATTGAGCCATAATTCCTCTGTTGAAGGACATTTAGATTATTTGCAGAATTTTTGTCCCCACAAGCTGTTTGCTGAAATAAACAAAGTCTTGCATTTTCTGTGAAAATAAATAACCTTGTACATAGGTACACAAGTACAGGTGTTTTCATTTCTTTATCGTGACTTGCCAGACATCCGATTGCTGGGTCACAGGGTCAGTGCATTTTTTTATTGAAATAGATATTGCTATATTATTTTTTTTAAGTGGCAGAATGATGTATTTCAATAGTTGGAAACTATTCACTGGATCCTTATCATATAAATACTTTACAATTTATTTTATTTTATATTTAGCAAGACATAATGTACATGGTTGAAAAAGTAAAGTAGCACTATGAAATAGTAGTGTTTGTCTTTCTTCCCAACTAAACTTCTAACCTGGAATCACTTTCAACTCTTTCTAGATATTTCTTTTGGTTCTACACTACACATCTGGACATACAAGGCTCTCTTGCTAAGTTTGAGGCATTGTCTCTTGACCTCCTTCATACTTTGTACCCCATATTCTAACCCTCATTTCATCCTGGCAATACAGTAATATAGTTATTTCAAATATTGGTTAAAATGTACTCTGAATTGATATTATTATGACTAATTCATTAACATTTTCAAAGTTAAGCCATATACTCTCCAACTATTAATTTTTTTCTAGAATTGATCATTTCTTGCTTTTGTGTTTGTTTTATTTTCTCTGAACCTGTCACTAATGCTTTGCCAAACACTACTCAAAGAATTAAACCTTCTCAATATGATCAAAGACATCAAGTAGACTTAGCTTCTACTTCATTTTTATCTTTTTTAAAAAAGATTTTAGAGACTTCTCTTCTGTAGCCCTCTGCCCTCTTGTTGCCCTCTTGATTCCTTGGTTTCCAGACTACTTTTCAGCTGTCTTTTGAGACCATTCTTCATTATTGTCCACAGAATTCCCTTTTCTGTTTTCTAATGGGGCATCAACTATTTTCGTAAATCCAGAACTTTCCATTTTTTTGTTGACTTACTAACTTTGGTAGAGCAACTCCACTAGGAGCTTTCCAAAAAAGAATGTTTTTGTGAGATAAATTTTTGAGTTCTTCTAAGTATTTTAATAAGATCCTTAGTTGGGTATAAAATTCTAAGTTAGAACTAATCAACAGTTGGAATTTTGAAGGAATTGCTTCCTTGTCTTCTAGGGCCAAGTGTTACTATGAAGAAATATGATATCAATTTAACTTGCTGTTTTTGGTCCTGAAAATTTTTATAATTTTTCTATTGCAATTATTTTAAAATGTTTTGAATATGCTTTGAATTGTGCTGGTTATTTGATAGGCCCTTTATATCTGGAAAACAGTTGAGTTCTTATATTGTTATTGCTTTGGCGTTGTTCTCCTGGATTGAAGGTTTAATATTTAAATAAAGTGATGTGTTGACATTCTTGGCATCCTTCTACTCAGAGACTTAGGTTTCGATTTTCGCTACCTTGATAAATCCAGTTACCACTCATTCATCCATTTTTCATCTTCTCCTTAAAATGTTGTTGTTTTTTTTTTGCTTACTGAATAATGCCTTCTCCCCTTGATCAGCTAATTCTTTGAGAAAAAATAAAATTACTTCACTGTGATGTCGTTTTAGTGGGAATCTGGAGGAATGTGAAGATAAATATATATTCAGTCTTCTACTTTTTTAAAGAGGATGTGGCAAGAATGAATGCTAGTTGCTGATGAAGAAGTTATTTTTTAAGCTGCTGATATATTGCAAAATACACTTTGCTTATCTATTTCTCCCTAAGTTTCATAAATTATTAGCTTTAAATCAATACTTGATTTTTTCCCATAAACATCTTCACATTTCCCTTTGTTTTTCAGTTAAAACATTTTCTTCAAACCCAACTTTAGATCTTCTCTGTTTCCTCACAAGAAAACCATCTCCAAGATAAACATTTTTTATTCTGTGCTTTGATCTTGCTACAGTCTTTCACATAATAATGAATAGTGAGTTTTTATCATTATGTAGCATGCTTATGAAATAACCATTTTTTTTAAACATAGTGCCAAGGTCAGTAGAACATCCTAAGTGGAACTGGAGGACTAAACCAGAAAGCCGTGATTTTGATGAATTGAATCACATCCTTCAAGAGAGCAAGAAGCTGGGGAAAGCCCTTGAGAATCTCTCTCGAAGTAAGTTCATTTACTTGGTTATAATTGAAATTTCTAACCAATATTAAAGCAGAAGCATCCATTACTAGTGCCAGTAACCCATTTCCAAAATCCTCATTATAATTCCATGAGAAGCTGAGAAGTTCTAAGGGCATGAGATTTGAAATGAGGATTGATTTTGCATATTACACAGATCCATGGGTAGACTGATTACAAAGAGTAGAAAGAGCCATAAAACCTCTCATAGCTGTTTGACTCCCACTTCCCTACATGGTTTCTGTTACCCAGTTCAAATGTGCACCTAATGGTATCTTCTTCTTCTTTTCTTTAAAAACATATTGTTTTGTTTTCTTCTAATTAATAAGCATACCTGTTACCTCTATGAGTTTGTGATATCTCTAAAATTCTTAAGGATAGTAAATAGACCAGATTCTTCTTAGTACCCTTTCAGAGCCTAGCACAGTGTCTTGTAACTTATTTTTTTTCTTTTGTAATTTATTTTTTAATGAAGGTAACTTCTCTGTAATCTGAGGACCTAGGTTTGGGTCTTGCTTTGCCATGTATGAGGTATATGCCCTCAGGTAAATCATTTAACTTCCATGAACCTTGACTCACTCATCCCTAAAGCAGGAAGACATAATTCTGCCTCCTTCTTCTGGTAGGTGTGAAAGTTTAAAAGAATATACTTCAAGTAAAAGCTTGTAGATTAATGTCATTGTCATGAGAGTAGGCAATTTAGCAAGTGTGTTGATTTGATAAATGCTTTCTATATATGTATCCATACATATATACTCTAGGGGTTTAGTAGTGAGTTCAAAGTATTCCTACCTTTTTCTAATTCTCTAAGTATTTCTCAATTTTAAAAATTAGGCACTTTCACAAGCATATTAATGCCATGGTCTTATCAATTTTTTTGGGTGCTGTGGAATATAAAAGATTTTAAAATGGAAAGTAGAATACAGCAAGTTCTAGTGAATTATATTTTAGAGTTTCTATTTTTTTCAAATAACAGTTTTACTAACTTCATGATTTGTATCAAAGTTAAATATTGTCCCTTGCTATATTTTGGAAAGAATTTATATATAAATATTTTATATATATTTGTATATTGCATTATATTATATATTTACATATGGTATTATGTATGTATATATAATTTTAGTGGTTTTTTTCCAACACATCTTCATTTATATCTCACTAAAGTCTCTTTTAAGACTTTTGTGCAATAGACCCTTATCAAAAGTTAAGCTGCCTTATAGTGAGATCTTATTACCTCTATTAGTAGAAACCCTTTGAATGGTATTGAAGAAAGCCCCACTTTTTGGCTAGTTTTACTTTAGGAGCAAATAGCAATAAGGTGAGTTTTCAGCTTATGATTATGTTATGTTCATGAAAAGACCTGATCCTGTTAATATAGCAAAGGCACATATTCATATTTATAAGTCTTACCCTTTGGGGTAGAGCCTGTGGCTCTTCACAGCTTCTCAATTTATCTAATAGCATGAGCCAAAGGAAGGATGATTGAAGCGTGTGCCTGATTATAACATAGACTTTCAAATATACTATCAGTCAACTTTTGTCCTTTAAAATATGACAGCTGCCTTACAAACACTTGTTAATCTGTAAGATGCCATTTGGTGTGTCCCCAAAACTTTTTACTAAAGGAATTGGACCCCATTTCAGTCCTGTACTTGACCAGATTTTTAGCAGAAGTGTTAGAGTTCAAGCTATGACCTGTTCCAGAAAACCTGGCTGTGGCCTAACAAATTTTCTTAGTCTATTCAGGCTGTGATAGCCAAATACCATAGACGGGTTGGCTTATAAACAATAGAAATTTATTTCTCACAGTTCTGGAGGCTGAAAGTTCAAGAATAAGGTGCTGAGAGATTTGGTGTCTGGTGAGGACTTGTTTCTTGGTTCATACAACGGGAACCCAAGAAAACTCAACACTTATTTATAAAAAATTGTGTATTTAATTACATGTTTCAACTTCAGTCACCTTCAGCATACTCTTCATTTGATCAATACAACTATCGAGATGCTTTTTCCACTGCTCAAAACAGTTTTTGAACTTTTAAAGTTTGATGTCATCTAGTGCTTCTGCCGTTTTTTGTTTCACCTCTTCTACATTGACAAAACGTTACCCTTTGAGGATGTTTTTCATCTGAGGAAACAAAAAAATATGGCTTGGGGAAAAATCAGGTGAATAGGGAGGGTGGGGTATGGGCATCATGACATTTTGGGTCAAAAACTCCTGAACACACAGTACTGTGTAGGCAAGTGCGCTTGTAAACCACCCATCAGGAAATGAGCAAACGTGTTGAGTCTATGGGAGAAAAAAAAATTTCCCTGAAGCCGAATGCAACCTCTCACAACAATGCTAGCTGGTACACTGATGCTGATGAGTTTTTAGAACACTTACCTAGTGGGAAAAGCCCATCCTAAAGAAGTCCATCCTCCGAAAGGTAATTTCTGAGTTTTGGGGGAACCTCCTCTTATAGATGGTGTCTTCTAGTGTGTCCTCATATAGTGGATGAAGAAAGGCAACTCTCTGGAACTTCTTTTATAAGTACACTGACCCTATTTATGAGAGTGGAACCCTCATGATCTAATCATCTCCCGGGTTTCACCACCTTACACTGGGGATTAGGTTTTAACATACAGATTTTGGGGGACAGAAACATTCAGATCATAGCACAGTTATAGCCTCACAACTTTCTGTAATCAGAAGCTAATGGGAGACTTGTTTAAACTTGTTTCATACTTGCAGGGTAGTCTGGAGAAACAATAAAGGCAGTTCTTGATTAGCAGGGTAGAAGAGAGACAGTTACAGGATATTATTCTTGCAATACACTCAGGGCCAAATAAACTATCAGGTGAGTCAGCAGCTGGGCCAGAATAAAGTGTAACAGTCAGCTCCTATGTATTTATTTGATGGAGGGTTGCTTTTGACTTCATTCTAAGGGGTTCTATTTTTTTGAGGGTATTCTGGTAGTATTTAAGTGGTAAGGATTTAAACTATTCTTTTCTCTCTTTAAACTATTTGAGTGTCTTTCTGAACAAAATGATATTTTCTTAGAAGGACTTGGATTTCTATGATTTTCAGTATCTGAGTTTTAATATTAAATTCTTGTCTTATGCTCTATATGTTTGCTACCAGTTTGTAATATACCTGCCATGGTCAGTATGAAGTAGTACAAATGCAGCTTTATTATGTATTGATATTTATTTAGCAGTCCAGTTGCCCATAGTTTAGCTGCATAATTGTACACCTACTTCTTCCATTATCCTGAACCAGAATGTCATTCTTGTTTGACTCTTATGATAGTTTTAGGTTTATGACTCTTTCTCTAATTTGATAGTAACTTTATTGCCCACTGTTTTAATTACTAGGAAGACATAGGGGGTGGAATTCTCCTCCAAATATGGTCAAGATAATATTCAATATCTTGATACTGTGGGCCATCCACTCTGATGGAAAAAGTTTGAAAGTTTTCAGTGTTCTCCTAATTTTAGTACAGCCTCTGATGTTTTATTCCAGTTGTATATTCTTAAAAATCATACATATTTTAGAAGTATTATTTTTAGTTTAGAATGATAGAAAATCATCATTTACATTCCTCAAAATGATAGAATTATCTTAGCTCAGTAATTGTCAACTTTCAAAGACTTGAATACCCTCTCCATGCACAAACATATTTAAGATAGGGCTCAAATAATAACAGGAAAGACTAGGTAGTCTTTCCAGCTGGCAAAAATGATTTTTGTTTTAGTAACAACCGTACTGTGCTATTTTTCTAACTTTTTGCAGCACTTTCAATGTGAATATCTTAAAATCAGGCATAAAACCCTTGCAATCTTTATGATGTTACCATTTTAAAGGTAGACATATTAGAATGAATCACAGTGACTTATAATGCCATATAGTCATAATGTGGAAGGCATAGTGGGTTTTTTGTGCATGGATTCCTCTGTACATTTCCAAACTTTCTTTAAACATTGCTTCTCTCTTCCCAGGAGCTTGGACTCTTAGCTATTCCTTCAAGTGTTTGCTTCCATCTAACGTTCAACTAGTAAGGAAAATTGTTTTTGAACGGAGAAGTTGTAAAGATATAAGACCTTCACATCTCAATTAATGCATCTCATCCCATGGCTGTAATTGAAGAGCCCCAGAGGAGTGTCTTTCTCAGTGCATGTTATCAGGGACTGTCATGTATGACTCGTTATATTAACTTTAGCCAGTTGATTAAGGTAGTGTCAGGCTGAAAGTATCAGGTTTCTCCACAGTGAGGTTAGTATTCTTCCCTTTGTTGATAATTAATATCTTGAGAGAAATACTTTGAGGCTATGAAAAGATCCTATTCTCAAATTTGCTCTCACCAGTTTTAACACCCTTTGGTAGATTGTTCTTGCAACAGCTATTGCTGTGGTGTTCTGAAGGTAAATTTTTATTTCTCTTATTCCTTCTACATTTATTCACTGAAATTCTTCTGTAATAAAGAGATATGAATATAGACTTTTAAACACTCCTATAATAATAGGACCTTGCTTACCTTACTATTGACTGGCCATATGGTCTGTTGAATATTTAGATATTGATATGGACATGTGTGCAGATACGGATATGAATGTCAAAATAGATGTAATCATCTCTCAGTAGATATTGATACAAGGAAACTAAAGCATTTATATTCAAAGTCAATTTCTATTAAATTTTTGGTAGTGCATACCTGTAGTTCCAGCTACTTAGAAGGCTGAGGCGGAAGGATTGCTGGAGCCCAGCAGGTCGAGGCTGCGGTAGCTGGGAGCGGCCAGTCTACTCCAGTCTGGGTGACGAGTGAGACTCCAACTCAAAAAAAAAAAAGAAAATGCTAAATTTGCCAGATTAAATGTATTTAACAATTTCTTTAAGAAATACCATCTAGAAGAAATGAATTAGTTAAGAAGCTTAATAATGCTTTTTCCATCTATCTTTTTTATAATCTTGTTCTCTACTTAATCTACAGATATATTCTGAAACC